ACCAGGCGCTGCAGCTGGTGCGTGGTGGTGAGAAAGCCGCTCTGCCCGCTGGGCCTCGGCACGGTGCCCCTGTGGATGGACCTTGTCCCACCCCACTCTCAATGCAGAGCAGGGTGTTGCACACCTAACAGACCAGCCTGCGAATGTTTTAAATATTCAAGTATTGATTGTGTGTTTCTGATGTGTCAGCCGCTTTCCAGACACTGTGGTGAAAGAAGGCCCACTCTAGCCAGGCGAACCCTTTCCCCTATTCACTAGCAGGGTCTCCTCCAGCCCCGACCCCTGGCCAGAACCACAGCGACATCCCATCCCGCACAGGCGTCCTGCCAGGCCCGGGCCCCTCAGCACACCCCCTAATCAGGTCCCACCTGGTCCCGTGTGCTTGAGAATGAAGTTCTCATCATCGAACTTCCTCCCGTAGATGGACTTGCCCCCGGTGCCGTTGTGGTTGGTGAAATCGCCGCCCTGGCACATGAACTGGGGGATGATGCGGTGGAAGCTGCTCCCCTTGAAGCCAAAGCCCTTCTCGTGGGTGCACAGGCAACGGAAATTCTCTGGGGTTGAGACAGGAAAAGGTGCTCAGGTTAAAACACAAGCAAACAAAACCTCCCTGTAACTAGACTGAAACTCTATTTTTAAAAATTTTCACTCTGTTTTGTGATACTAACATCTTAAAGGACTACAGGGGATTCTACCAGAGAGGGAGGAGTACATGCATTCTAGCTCCACTCCACTCTAAACCGTTGTCAAAGTAATTTTTTTAAAAGAAAAACCAAACAGCATCTTAGAAGAAAACAGAGGGGCAAATCTTTGTGACTTTGGATTTGGCAATTGTTTCTTAAATACGACACCAAAAGCATTGATAAAAGAAAAAATATATAAATTAGACCTCATCAAAATTAAAAACTTATATGCATCAAAGGACACTCTTAAGAGTGAAAAGGTCATTCATAGAATGGGAGAAAATATCTGCAAATCATATCTGATAAGGGTTTAATATTCAGTATATGTAACTAATTCCTACAACTCAACAAAAGACTGGATAGACATTTCTCCAAAGAAGATATACAAATAACCAATAAAGCACATGAAAAGATGCTCAACATTAGTCATCAGGGAAATGTAGATCAAAACCATAATGAGATTGCCTGGCCGGCATGGCTCAGTGGTTGAACACTGGCATATGAACCAGGAGGTCATGGTTCGATTCCCAGTCAGGACACATGCCCAGGTTGCAGGCCCAGTAGGTGATGTGCAGAAGGCAGCCCATCAATGATTCTCTCTATTCATTGATGTTTCTATCTCTCCCTTTCCACTCCTCTCTGAAATCAATCAATATATATATATTATTATTATATCTGTCTTTATTCCAACAGAGTCATACAATACAATTTTTTAAAATATATTTTTATTGATTTCAGAGAGGAAGGGAGAGGGAGAGAGAGATAGAAACGTCAATGATGAGAGAGAATCATTGATTGGCTGCCTCCTGGATCGAGCCCGCAACCTGAGCATGTGCCCTGACCGGGTATAGAACTGTGACCTCCTAGTTCACAGGTCAACACTCAACCACTGTGCTATGCTGATTGGGCCATACAATATAATTTTTAAAAATATATATATTTTAAAAACCATAATGAGCCCTAGCCAGTTTGCTTCAGTGGATAGAGAGTCGGCCTATGGACAGAAGGGTCCTGGGTTCAATTCCAGTCAAGGGCATGTACCTCGGCTGCAGGCTCCTCCCTGGCCCAGGCCCTGGTCAGGGTGCATGCAGGAGGCAACCAATCGATGTGTTTCTCTCACATTGATGTTTCTCTGTCTTTCCCTCTTTCTTCCACTCTCTCTAAAATCAATGGGAAAATATCCTCGGTTGAAGATTACAAACAAAAAACAAAACCATAATGAGACCCCATTTTACACCTACTAGGATGGCTGTGATAAACAAAAATAACAAATGTTGGCGAGGATGTGGGGGAATTGGAACGCTTATACACTGCTGGCGAAATGTAAATGGTGCAGCTGCTACAGAAGATAGCTTGAAGTTCCTCAAAAAGTTAAACATAATATTACCTTATGACCCAGCATTTCTACTCTTAAGTGTATACCCAAAAGAACGGAAAACAAGGATTTAAACACGTATGTTATTATGAATGTTTATACCACCATTATTCACAATAGCCAGAAAGTGAAAGCAATGTTCAAGTGTCCATCAGCAAATGAATGGATAAATAGAATGTGGTCTATCCACACGATGGAATATTGTTTGGTCATAAAAATGAATGAAGTATTGATCTGTGCCATGACCCAGATGACATTTTAAAATGTTATGCTCAGTGAAATAAGCCAGACATAAAGGACAACTACTATATGATTCATTTATATAAAATATCTCGGGTAGGCAAATGCAGAAAGAAAGTAGATTAGGTTTCCAGGAGCTGGGGGGAGAAGTGCATAGAGTGTTACTGTCCAGTGGATACAGAGTTTCTGTTTGGGGTAATAAAAAAATTGAAAATAGATACTGGTGATGGTTGTACACACTGTGAATACAATTAATGCCACTGAATTACACACTAAAAAAATGGATAAAAATGGATGAAGTGAAGGGGAAAAAGGAGACAACAGCAACAAAAAATTTTGAAAACTTAAAAACAAATAGAAGAGTCATAACTGATATAACAGACCTAAAAAAGTTGAATCTTAAGCTGGTCAAGCCAAGAAGCAACTCAGTTCATGTTGCACAAACACCAAAAGCTCAGATAAGAGGGCAAAGGTAGATGTAACAACAGTAAGTCTGGTTAAAAGCCTGTTTAAATAGCCAAGACCTGGAAACAACCTAAGTATCTTTTGATAGATGACTAGATAAAGATGTGGCCATAAAAAATGATGAAATATTGCCATTTGTGACAACATGGATAGATCTTGAAAGTATCACGCTAAGTGAAATAAGTTAGACAGAAAAGGCAAGAACCATTTGATTTTAACTCATATGTGGGATATAAAAAAGCAACAAACATAAAAACAAAACAAACAAACTCACAGACACAGATAACAGTTAGGGTTACCAGAGGGTAAGAAGGGTCGGGTGAGGATGAACAGCATAAAGGGGGGCATAAAAATGGTGATGGAAGGAGACCTGACTTGGGGTGGGGAGCACACAATGCAATATACAGATGTATTATAGAATCGTAAACCCGAAACTTATTACATGCATGACATAACCACAGGGTGCTATAAAAAAGAACATTTAGAAAGTTACAGAGAGAAGTGAGAGAAACCAGAGGGGACAAAAGCAAAGAAAATAATTCGAGGAAATATTCCCAAGCCAAAGGATAAAACAGACTGTGCTGACTGGTAAGTGTGGGATGCAGAACGATTCTCCCCAAGGATGCCCGTGCCCCAGTCGCTGGAACCTGAGCTATGCTAGGGCAGAGGCACTCTGCATGGGACTAAGGTTATGGACTGTGAGGTGGGAGAGCAGCCTGGTGGGCCTAATAAATCATGAGCCTATAACCGAAGCTTTCCCAGCTGAAGTCACGAAGAAAGAGAGAAACACCAAAAGCTCAACATGAGACTGATCCGCCACTGCTGGCTCTGAAGGTGGAGCAAGGGGCCGCCAGCCTCTAGAAGCCGGAACAACCCCAGCGACAGCCCGCTGGGAAATGGGCACCTCCGTCCTCCAGACGCAGGACACTAAATTCTGCCAACAACCTGATGTCCCTGGGAACAGCTCCTCCCCTAAGACTTCAGTAAGGAAGGCAGCAGCCTGGCTGCCACCTTCATTTAGCCCAATGAGACCCACGCCGGATTCTGTAAGGCAATACTTTGGTGTTCTTGTAAGCTGCTAAGTCTGTGCTAAGTTGTTGCAGCAGCAAAAGAAACCTAATACAGTAGGACCCACAAAAAAGTCAGCATGACAGATGAAAGGAAATAAATCCGAAAGCACACCGTTTCTGAGTACAGGATAAACAGACCCTCCAAGGCGCTAGACCAGCATTATCGAACAGTTCTTCAGCACTTGGCTAGTGTAATTTAATTTAAATGGTCACATGTGGCTAGCGGCCTCCATATTGAACAGCATAGCTCTAGATAGAAAAAAGAAAAAAAGAGGTTTGTACAAAGGACCAAGTGTCAGAATGGCATTAGCCTTCTCTAGAATCCTACACCTACCTATCAATCAAGTGGGAAGGCACATTTTTTCAGATGTCAGTCTCCAAGAAGTTACCTCCCAAGTGCTTTTCTGCAGAAGCTGCAAAAGTATATCCTCTACTGAGGCGAGGGAGTAACCAAAGAAGAAGACAACTGAGGTGGCAACATAAGAGATGAGACAGGAGATCCCAGGACAATAGCTATGAGAAGGCCTGGAAAGCAGCCCGTCCAGGCTAGAGCAGCCACAAGGCTCAGGCGGAGCTACTACAAGAAAGCGAAATTGACAGAGTATCTGATGTGTTTGAACATGATGAGCGATTTATAAAGGCAGGAGAATCTGGGACAGAATCAGGAAGAAATGCATAGAAGACTAAGCAAATGAGAAAGCAAGACAATTATGAATTCCGGGGAAAACAAAATGCTATGTATAAAAGAAGTTATCACCGTTTGATGCTTACTTACAGAGTTAAAATAACCTAAGACCTAACCAAAATTATGGTAACTATACAAGGAAGACAAAGAGATAGGAAAGATGATTTTATTTTATTTTCATTTTTAAATATGTTTTCATTGGTTTTAGAGAGGAAAGGAGGAGAGAGAGAAAAACACACACACATCGATGTGAGAAACACTGATAGGTTGCCTCCCATATGTGCCCTGACTGGGCTTCGAACCCACCACCTTTTGGTGTATGGGACGATGCTCCAACCAACTGAGCAACCTGGCCAGGGCTATGTTTACTTATATATATATATTTAAAGTATTACAAAATAGTAAACCAGCACTTATAAAGCTTCAGAAACGCTACCCACACTATCTGTTACTAGATTTCCGGATCCACTACTCAGGTCAGAAACAATGTCAAGGGCACCCGAACTGAGGCCCCAGAGAACCTTGGGAAGGCTCACTGCCCAGCCAGCAGCTTCCAACAGTCCCGACCGGAGCCTGCTCACCTGCCGTCATGGGAACGACGTCTGAGCGCAGGAGTATCTGGATGCGGCCGGCTGGCTTGTTCCCAATCTTGATGTCCATGTACACCTGAGGGTTCGACCGGGCCTTTTTGGCAGTGGGCTCTCCCTGGGTGGAGAAGAAACCACTAGGTTAGAGAGAACTCCCTGAGCAGGGCAGCGAGAAGTCTTCTGCATACACACCCAGAACCCAAGTGCAGGGAGCAGGCTGGAGTGAGGTGCCGACAGGGGAGGCCTGGGCCCCGCTGGGGCTGCAGGAGGCAGAGGCCATGGCCAGCACGGAGTTGGACATCAGTGACAGACCTCCAGCCCACAGGCACGTTATCTCATCACACGGGGCCTCAGACAGAGGCTTGCTTCACTCTCCCTGCAGTCACGTATAACACTGTTCTGGCCCAACACAACTCTCAACACCTTCAAACACCAGCTCCAGCCCACTCACCTCACTCCAGTTAAACAGACCCTTTTATGTAGCACCATCCCCTCCTTCTATGCTTAGTTATGTGCAGCCAAAGGCTGGCTACCGAGGAAGCAAGGAGGGCAGCCCTCTGGCTTGGGCCTAAGTGCTCAGAGACAATGGAAGAGGTGGAGGGGGCCTTGCCTTATCCCCAAGTAGACAAAGCTAAGCAGAGGACAAGGAGACATTTAACACAGCCATCCTATCTGTTCCAAAGAGAAGTCAGAGATTCATAACGTGTCTGTGGTTCAGTTTAACAAATGTACTGAAGATACTATTTCTATCATTTGCTGCTAACAACAGCAGTAGCGGCAAATACTCACATACTCACTTGCCATGTGCAGAATACTATTCTAAACGTCTTATGTATATTAGCTCTTTTAATCCTCAGAACCACTACTATCCCCATTGTATAGATGGGGAAACCGAGGCACATTGAAGTTCAGTCACTTGCCCAAGACCACAGAGGTGGTAAGCAGTACAGCTGGAATTCAAACCTAAGCACTCACACAACCCACCCAGTCCATGCTCTGAATCACATCACCCCACCTGATGTTGTTATTAACAAGATGCACAATACAAGGCCCCTATCCTCACCGAGTTTGCTGCTTAGAAAGAGAAAGGCAACAAGCACTTGAGTAGCCTGTACAAAAGCAGAGACATAGAGGGAAATACAAAGCCTGGTGTTACCATGTGGGGACTGCAGTGTGGAGAGGGGAGGGGGCAGGGGCAGGGGCAAGAATTTGGAGAGTCCCTCTTGGCCTTTATCTCGCGGGACAGGTGATGGGGAGTCAGAAAAGTTATCAGTAGGAGAGTCAGATGATGGGTCTTGTGCTTTAAAAAGATCATTCTAGCCGTCTTTAGGAAAGACTGGAGAGCAGGATTCTAGCCAGAGAGTAGTTAGGGAGCTACTGTAATTATCCAAATGAGATGAGAGGCTAAATCAGGACGATGGAACAATCAGGGAGGGGGATTCAAGGGAGACGTAAGAGAAAAACTAGCAGAATGTGATGATATGTTGTCTCTATTTTAAAGAGGGGTCTAGATGATCTAGGGGTATTGCCCTGGCTGCGAGGGCCATTCATATGCTCTGCTTTGTATCCAAATTTCTGGCTTGGGTCAACGTGTGGATGGATGGTGGCACGTTAACAAGCTTGAGAATACAGGAAGAACAGGATAGAGAAGGGAGAGCACCCGTTCTGGCAATCTGAAGCTGCCTGTGTGCTTTGCAGCACAATATCTAAAGCTCAACACTAGAAACAGACTGGGGAGTCAGCAGCACCAGAGAGGCTTCGAAAATCAGACTGGCTGCCACTATTTTGGCCGAAAGAAGAGAGCGATGCCATGAGCCAAGATAGAAGCAACATTCAGGAGGGAGGAAAGGCCTGAGAAGCAATGATCAGAGAGAGGTATGCTGAGAACCAGGAGCAAGTGCCTAGGCGCGTCTCTGAGGGAGCGAGAGCCTCAGACCTGTGTAGAGGCTGCAGGGGTGGTACCACTACCGTCCTCACTCTCCTGTGTCAGGACAGGACCAGGAATACCGTGGACCCGTTGAAGGAGGAGGGCTGACCAGGAGGAGCACTCACTACCCTTCCTCACGGGGGGCAGGGGGACCTTCCTCCTCGTCAGCTGCCAATCACAAATCAGTACCTAAACTAGCTAAGAAGCTGACAAGTTCATTGCCCAGAGCACAAGGATGAGGCTTAAAGCCTCTCTCGTTAGTTCACTCAATAGTGCCTTCACCGAAGTACTAGAGGTCCCTTTCATCCTCTCTACTTGTGAATATATATTTTCAAGTTTCCGTAAAACTTTAAAAGAAGGCTCCTGTGGAAGCACCGGCCTCCCCTCCAGAAGCGCGCCTTCCTCTCACCTCCTGCGCTTCTGCTTTGGGGGGCTCCGACCCCTCTTCCTCTTTATTCTCTTCCAGAGTCTTCCCAGAGAACTTCTTCAACCAGTCATCATCTGACCAAACTGAAGGGAAAGAATCAAACAAATGTCAAGAGAGTCAAGCTCGTCCTAGCCTGTTTGGCTCAGTGGGTAGAGTGTCAGCTCATAGACTGAAGGGTCCCAGGTTCGATTCCAGTCAAGAGCACGTACCTCAGTTGCAGGCTTGATCCCTGACCCTGATTGGGGCACATGCAACCAATGAGCCTCTCTCACATTGATGTTTCTCTCTCTGTCTCTCCCTCTCCCTTCCACTCTAAAATCAATGGAAAATATCTTCGGGAGAGGATTAACAACAACAACAAAAGAGATCCCAGCTATGAGCCCTGCTAAGTAGCTGCTTTGGTCAGCAAAGTGGAACATACTCTGTGGCCCTCTCAGCCACAGATTCCGCCTGGGGAACTCCCAAGGTAAGACAAGTTCCCACTGGGAGTGTCAGCCCTGAGGTCCAGCGCTCAGCAGGGCTAAGGGACAAAGCCATGTCAAAGGGAAAAGTGTAGTTTTGCCAGTTCTGCCCTTGGTGGAACACCCCAGGAACGAGAAAACTGGGGAAGATAAGGGAGCAGGCAGGGTTTCTCCATAATGGAAACAATTACCCTGAGAAGCTCAAACTCTTCTTATTCCCCACAAAGGTGGTGCATGCCCTTCAGCTACTCCTGTTCACCAGAAGTGCACTCAGCACCTGCCGGGAACCAATTCCAGCATGTCATAATTTTAAGAGTTCCATCAAAAGGTTGATGAGACTTGGGGACTCAACAGGGTTGAGTCACACATGTAGTCACCATCTGGGAATGGCTAAAGGCATTTGCCCAAACCTGAATAGGAAACTGATTGTGGCTGCCAGTCAGTTAAAGGGCATCTTAATCTACATGTTATTGCCTCCTACTGGCCAAACACCTGAACAGCCATAGGCTATTCCCCCATTCTGACAATGGACTCTGTACCCTTTGAAACCTTACCCATTGAAGTGTATTATCTCCACCTTGCCTTAGGACAAATTGTGTTAATAAAAGCAAGGGTCCTAGACAAGGAGGGACTCTTCAGTTCCTTTAGCTGAAGGTCCTCTGACCCCCAATGCCTTTCAAAATTATATCTCATCTCCGGATTCTTTATTAGTCTCTGGATTCCTATATCATCTACGCACAGCCCCCTTTCCAGATTCCTGAACCCTTCTTGATGCTGGGGCATGAACCCCAGCATAAATGGACGCCCAACGTGGGGCTTTCTGAACCCTGGCAGCGACAACAAGCACCCATTTCCAGGTAACAGGGATAAAAACGCAACTAAGGCCACACTGGAGGACATGATGGGGAACCTGTGGTGGCCCCACTCACCTGGTCTGGAAGAGCCTTCCTTAATCCTCATTGGTTTGGCCAAATTGACGCGAATCGTCCGTCCAAAGAGTTCAGATTCATTCTGAAAAGATGGAAAATTCAGCTGCTTAAACTCTGTTAGGGTAAAAGAGTCAGACAGGTTTTCCATGTGCTTCAGATCTTTGAGGCATGCTCCAATTTGTTCTCCCCGAACCCCTGAGCTCCTACCAGCAAGCTCTGCACCCACTGCAAAGCAGCCCTTGAGTTGCAGGGAGATGTCTCCCTGGAGCCGGCCCACACCTCCTTCCTTGCAACGCCAGCAAAGAACTGTGCTGCCAACAGTAACTCTGGGCTCAGAGTTATGAGGGTAAATGCGGTTTCCAAGTACCTGAGTTCACCTTCAAAAGTCAAGATCAGCTTTGAAATGGGAGAAATGATCTCACTCTGATAACTGAGGAATATGTTCGGCAAACGGGTAACAGAGGCCAGGAATAAAAGAGAACCTTACTATCCAAAGATAATTGGTACCAGGAAAGGACACTTAATGTGAGTCCATTTAGAGCAGTGAAGAAAACTTTTATGGTAAAAAGTAAAGAAAAAAAGGTTTGACTCGGACTTTACTGTGATGAAACTAAAAATAATGAAAATAAATTTCTTATAGTTCAAATTCAGGTTTAACTATGCTCGGATTTACAGAACACACATTTGCTGATTAATCTGCAGTATATTTTCCAACAAAATTCTAAACCACAATACGATAGGACACCTTTGCACTGCATATCTGACATTAAAAGCACAGGGATCTCAAAGAGCGCACAAAAACTCAAGAACTTCATCATTTTCCCCAAGGACCGCTCCAGGACATTCAAATCATTTGCATCAGCAGCACACCCAATCATTATCCTTATTGAATTTCTCTGATAAACTGTTAACTGGTCTAACGCTTCATGGAATCCTGCCTCTTTTGCAAAATATGCAACTTCACTGTGCAATCAGATTGCACAGTGTTTGCAACTTATTACCCTGGACATGGGGTAGTCAGTGAGACACTGACCAATAAGGATGATTAGTATTTATATTATTGTTAATGGGGACAGATATCTGAGTGAGGATTAATCTTATAAGTGATTAATTCACAGTGAATATTTGTATGATGACAGTTTTTACTTTCCCATGCAACCTTGTAACTTTGGAGGTTCAGCAAACCAATATATAAACAAGGAGCCCTCTGTGCCACCAAAACCAACTTCAGTAAGAGTGAAGACTCCCGGCCATACCATGTTGTCGATGGCTGCTGCAGCATCCTGTCAAGAAAAGACAAAGTACAAGTTTGGCTTCTTGTGGTGTCTAAACATATACTCAGTAGCAAAAATAACCCCCACAAAAAATCACAACAGGAAAAAGTCACCCCTCTAGTCCCTGCCTAGGTGGCATGTGTGTCTGACAAAGAGGGCTTCCTGGCTGACTCTGGAGCTGGTGGTGCAGCCATTTGCCATCTGGTGGAAGGCATAAGAAATAACCACAGCGCTGCCAGGCGAGGAGGCCCAATGAGCGGGGCTGCAGGAGCTCTGCAGAGCACGAGGGGGGACCTGGCTGGTCTGCCATGTTAACCACAGTCTACAATTTGATTAAGTGAGGGACGTGTTTCTTCAGACAGCACTTCTGTCCTCTGGAAGCATCAGCACGAGGCCCAGAAACCTAACCAAAAGGAGCACAGCTCCCTCTGTAATCAGTAATAACACGAAGATGAAACATGGTTAACGGAATTTTCTCACCTCTGCCAACTCAAATTCAACAAAAGCAAATCCTCGGTGCTTTTCTGAAAAAAGGGAAAACAAAAACAAGTAATTACCCTTTAGGGCAAGGGGAAGATGATCACAAGGAAAGTGAAGCCAGTTACAAGCCATATCCAGACATTAGAAATTCCCCCTGATCCCTATTTCAGAAGAAATCTCATTCTTTAATTTTTCCTAGTTTAAACATTTCAAGCTATATTACATGTTGCTTTTTAGTGAACATGGCTCAATAATGAACTGTACTTTTAATCTTTAAAATAAGCATTCCAATTTTTCCACCAAAGACAAATAAAACCTTAACCTTTGCATGCAAGGAAACTAGAAAAATGAAGCCATTTACTAGTAAACTATTCATTCCAACTATATATTTTGAGCATCAACTGTACATAAAGCATAAACCTGGATAAGGACATTCATTCTTTTTTTTAAAAAATATACTTAATTTTTTACAGAGAGGAAAGGAGAGGGATAGAGAGTTAGAAACATCGATGAGGGAGAAACATCGATTCAGCTGCCTCCTGCACACCCCCCCACTGGGATGTGCCCGCAACCAAGGTACATGCCCTTGACTGGAATCGAACCCGGGACCCCTCAGTCCGCAGGCCGACGCTCTATCCACTGAGCCAGACCAGTCAGGGCAGGACACTCATTCTTTATCCTCAGGAAAATGCTGATCTATCTAGAAAGGCCAAGCATAGCAGGGTTAATTTAACTGACCAACTAACTTTAGAGAATCAATAGAGCCTTATTGTTTTTTACAGATAAAGATCCCAGGCCCAGAGAATTTAAAGACCTTGCTTAACAACCATGCAGGGTCGATGATCGAGCTGGGCCTAAAACTCCAATCTTAGAAATGACAAGAAAGGTAAAATAGAAAACTGAACTGTAACTGCGATATCTATTAAAGGAAAACTTACCCAGGTACACAGAGGCCAAGCCCCCATTGTTAGGGTAGGGTTTCCTGCTGCCCTGTTTATAGCACAGCTGCCAAGATGGGAGCAGCTGTGGTGGGGTCCCCAGTAGATAGTTTGAAACAACATTCAGGTCCACTCTGAGCCCATATAGCTCAAAATCTATCTTCCTGCCCTGACTGGTTTGGCTCAGTGGATGGAGCGTCGGCCTGCGGACTGGAGGGTCCTGGGTTCGATTCCAGTCAAGGGCATGTACCTTGGTTGCGGGCACATCTCCAGTGGAGGGTGTGCAGGAGGCGGCTGATCGGTGTTTCTCTCATTGATGTTTCTAGCTCTCGGTCCCTCTCCCTTCCTCTCTGTAAAAAATCAATAAAAAAAAAAATCTATCTTCCTACTGGGCTACTGAAAATTGTTTTATCTCAAATCCAATAGATGGGACTCTGCAGAGTTATGTTACAGTTCACAACCACAAGCCTCAGAACTGCCCTTCTGCATCAAGATCACTGCCATGCTACCCTACTGAGGCACCCTCCAGAACTTTCCTACATACCAACCATATCATATACTGTGACAGGACTTAAAAAAATTTTTTTAGGTTATTTTCTCAGTAGGATTCTGACCATTAAGAGACACTAAAAGGACTCACCTGTTTCATAATCCAGAGGAATCTGAATATCTGTGATATCTCCAAAAGGGATAAAAGCTGCATGAAGAACTTTGTCATCCACCTCCTCTGCAAGTCCACCTGCAAAGAAGCCAAGGGCCTTCTGAGCCACTGAACTTTATTCTCTTGAGAAGTCCCTGCAGCCCAGGTAGCATCCTATAGCTAAGGGGAGGGGTCCTTCCATCCAGTCCTTCGCGTACATAAGTACTCCTCTCAACTGCTCCGTCACCCACACTTATAACTTACACTGCTCTCTTCACCCTTCCCGCAGGCCCTCACCGAGTCCCAGAATTATTGCAATAGCATCTTAATTGATTTTCCTCTCCTCCAAAGAGTCAACTGGACAGATCCTGGGAATGTGCAGATTTTAACCCATCACTTCCCTGCTTAAACTCCTCCAAAGGTTTCCTACTGTCCTCAGGATAAAGTACAAACTCTTCAGCAGGAGAGTTCATAACTGGAGCCCTCCCCACCTCTTCAGCTGTTCCCCCTCTGCTTCCCCAACTCTCGGGGTTCCCTAAAATGACCCACTTGCTCACAAGTGTAAGGCTATTTCACACTTTTGGGCTTCTGCTCTTGCTTCTCTCTTTCAGTAAATACACTTGCCCCTATTTTGACCACCTGGCTGAAACCGGATCATCGGCGCCAGCATCACGGCACCTTGAAAGTTTGCTCTCACCTCTCCAGACGGAGGCATCATTGCTTCCCGCACCCAGACCCATGTCATCGATGTCCGTCCCCACCAAACTGTGCTACTGAAGTTATTCTCACTTCTACCTGGCTAGTCTGCGGACCCCTTCCTTGGGGGCCTGGGTTGAGCCCCCGTTGCAAGCGAAAGTTGGTCAAATGAATGGGCGCGAGCATCTGGAGGCCCATAATATTCCTCTACCAAACCTCCGGGTCCAGGAGGTAGAGGGGTTCCTGTTAGGGGTTAGCGGGCTTGGAAGGGAACCAGAAAGGTCTTTACGTCTCGGGCTAACACCTGAAGCAAAGCAGTACCGCCATAGGTCCCTCCTAGACAGCTACTCGCCGCCCCCCGCGTCTGGTCCCGCGCCCAGACCCCGCCGGGTGCCCGCGGCTGCTCACCCACGTACAGCACACGCTTGGTAGTGGCCATCTTGCTCCCGCGCTCTTCCTCCGGAAGCCGGCGCCCGGCCCGCCCCCTTCCCAGGCCCCGCCCCGCGTCTGGGAGCTCCAAAGACATATCCCTCCGCTCGGCCCCGCCCCGCGTCTTGGCGTTCGCAGGCCCCGCCCACTCCAAGCGGCCCAGTCCCTTGTCTCAGCGCTCGCAGGCCCCGCCCCTCGCTCGGCCCCGCCTCGCGTCTTGGCGCTCGGCCCCGCCCCGCCCCGCCCCGCCCACTCCGCGCGGCCGGTGCTGCCTTCGGTTCCTAGGAAAGGCCTGGCGCCGTGGGAGGTGCCCCCGGGTGGGAGAAGCTGCGTGATGCGGGCGCGCCGGGTGCTCAGTGCTGCTGGAAACAATCCTGGGCCCAACCCGTCCGGGTCCGCAAATAATAAACTACTACAAATACACTACGGTCCGTGGGCCGCCCCTGGACAACCTGCAAGCTAGGACTGGTTTTTACATTTTCAAATACTCGAAAAAAACATTAAAACAAGAATAGCTTGTGACACATGAAAATGTATAAAATTCAATTTTCAATATCCAGAAATAAGGTTTATGGGAACACAGTCGTGCTCATTCCTAAAAGTATTGTCTGGCTGCTTTCACACTACAAGGGCAAGAGACATACGGCCCCCACTTGGCTCTCTAGGAGAAAAGTGTGCGGACTCTTGGTATAAACGAGCTAAAACGTAAGTCACAGATTGACATGTGGTAGAAAACTATGGGGCCACCTGTTGTAGATAGAGCAGTGGGTTGCGACTTCCCTGAGGTCACATTTAAGCTGAAACCTGGGAAGAGGAGGAAGCAGGGGCAAGGATTTCAGGGAGAGGAGGCAGCTTCTGCACACCCAGGGAACCAAGGGCAGGACGTGGGGCACAGACATCTGGCAGGAAAGGTGGGCAGGAGCCACACCGTGCAGGGCCCTGTAAGCCATGTGGAGGATTTGGGAGCCTTAAGAAGATACCAAACGTAACTGGGGGAGTTCATGGTCACATTTATGTTCTAAAATGTGCTCTCTGGAGGGAGTCAATGGGGGGGGGGGGGGAAGGGGACATATGTAATACGTTCAACAATAAAGAATTATTTAAAAATGAATGAATGAATGAATGAATGAATGAATGAATGAATAAAATGTGCTCTCTCTGACCACTGCCCAGAATGGATAGGGCTGAGACATGAATATCAGGAGGTAGATGCAGAAGACTAAGGAAGAATTGATGGTGGCTTTCTCCCTCCAGTCCTAACCTGATCAAAGTCAGGACAGTTCAATACCTGAATGCTACCATTCAGAATGCTAGGGGCAGAGAAGGGGCAGCAACAGTCTGAGCAAATTCAGTCCTCTGAGAGAGGAGTGGTGGGAATATAAAGCAACCATATAAATTCTCATATGTATATATTCAGATATATAATAAAATGCAATATGATCAGAAGGAGGAGGTGAAATGAACACCTGCTCTGTGTCAGGCCTAGTGCTAGACAACTATTCACAGACATGTAGTCCTCACAAACTTTTTCAGGTACAGATTACCATCCCATTTGACCCACCACGCCCAATGAGCTCAAGTAATTTGCTCACATTAGCAAATAATGACTGAGTATTGAATGTACTTATTGACTATACAAAACTGCAATAACTGACTTCAGTGGCACAGCTCTTTTCTAAAGACGACATTATCCCTTTCAGAGGGATTCCCAAGAGTGACTGGTCCAAAGGGGATGCATATCAAAGCAATTATCATTATTATAACCATCCTATCTCTTTCATAAAATGTTCCAGAAACATTAGATGTTCCTAGATGTCAATTTCTAGATGATTCTTTGAGGTCAGCGATGATCTCAAGCCTAAAAGCAGGTTGCTGAGGCTATAGAAAAGAATTTTTTAAAAAAATCCATTAAGTTTTGGAAATTCCATCTTTAGAGACTGTTAAGTAGGTGAAACGAGTTGGGGAGTGGGACACATGGGCTTCTGAAGGGAGCAGTTAGACATCATGATCACACTTAGTACAATTTGTATCTATTTTTAAAAAATCCCTTTCTCTCCTACTAGAGAAAGCATTTTGAGAGCAGAGACCTTGTCAGTTTACCACTGTAGCTCCAGCCCACGCTGCACAATTCCTTGGCATTTAGTGGAGTGTTAATATCTGATGAATGAAGCAGAGAAAAGCTTCTTTCAAATAATGTTGAAATGGAAAACTCTATTAATAGCACATTGGGTGCCTGGTCCTCCTTTGCAGAGGCTGAATCACAGGACGTGGGCTGCCATCACGGGAGGTGCATTTATGTGGGGAGCAGCCCAAGGAGCCTGAGGAGGTGCTAAGTGCTGCAAGCAGTGGAAACCCCTAAAGAAAAGAACAAGCCAAATTAAAGCCCATCACTCAGCAACCACAGTCTCCAGGAGTCCTCCTTCCTTGGACTCAGCGGTGAACCCTGGAGACTGTTGGAGGGACGAGAAGGTAAGACATTCTCTCTGCTAGCCAGGGACACTTTGCTCCACTGGTGACAGGAGAAACTGATGTCCAGTCTGCCAGAGCCTGGAGCCTGTGGCCACTTTTCCTGCCTTTCACTATCTTATCACAGCACTGGATTCACCAATGACCTAGACTCCAGTCCTAGCTATGGCAGGTTCCAAATCCTCAGACAGTGGTTCTGAACTTGAGCAGGCATCAGAATCATCGGGGGGGGGGGGGGCTTATTAAAACACAGATATCTGGCCTCCATTCCCAGAGTTGCTGATTTAGTAGGTCCGGGGTGGAACTGGGAACTAGGGACACCGAAGCTGCTGGCTGAGGCGGCACACTTTGAGAACCACTTTTTCCAAGAAAAGTTAGGACCTATCAGTATAGCCAGGACAGTGTTGCTCAGTGGTTGAGCATCAACCCATGAACCAGGAGGTCACGATTCAATTCCCTGTCAGGGCACATGCCTGGGTCGCCAGCTCGATTGCCAGTAGAGGGGCGTGCAGGAGGCAGCCAATCAATGATTCTCTCTCATCATTGGTATTTCTATCTCTCCCTTCCTTTTTGAAATACATTAAAAAAAATTTTAAAAATCTAAAAAAAAAAAAAGAGCAGGTCAGTATAAGCAATCTATTATGGGTACAAAGAATAAAGAGGTGTGTTGTCTGTAAAAAGTTTCCAAGCAACAATAAGACAACTAGAAAATTGATCATATTATATCATCATCATCATGCACAGGCAACTCTGAACAATATGAATTACAAAATACTCTTCCTGGAAAAAACTTTCAATGGTCTAAGTTGAAATAAGTCCTGTGACTACTCTGGAATATGGTTCAAATTAGCAGATTTTTATCACTTAGTCTTTATAAATATTGTATTCTCTATAAAAGCTAATTTTGGACTCTATTTATGCAGTCAGTCTCCAACACCCTTAGACTCAGCTACATACAAATATTTGTAGAGGAAGTTCTTGGTGGTTCAGAATGGTTTGAGCTCCTTCAAACTCAGTTTGGGCACAATTTGTGTTTAACCCTTCTGTTACTACAGATTCCTGCATTTAAACAACACACACACACACACACACACACACACACACACACACACACATATGGCATATGTGATTTTTCTTTTGTATGTAATTTTCCTTTTCTAAGTTATCTTTTTATTTTTGCAGTGAGGTTTTAAATATATTTTTATTTATTTCAGAGAGGAAGGGAGAGGGAGAGAGAGAGAGAGAGAGAGAGAAACATCAATGATGAGAATGATTGATCGGCTGCCTCCTGCACGCCCGCTACTAGGGATTGAGTCCACAGCCCGGGGCATGTGCCCAGACCAGGAATCAAACCATGACCTCCTGTTCATAGGTCAATGCTCAACCACTGAGCCACACTGGCTGGGCAAGAAGTAACATCTTTATGACAGTGAGTATTCCCATGCATAAACATGTTATACCTCTCCATTTATTCTTTAATATTCTTTTTATATTTTAAAATATTTTGTATTCTCCTTCATAAGGTCTAGCATATCTTTTATAAGCTATATTCCCAGATATCTTATAGTTTTAGTTGACATTGAGAATGGTATATCCTAGCTTCTTATTTCTTTATACAGTAATCGATTGCTTTTTGCATGTTGACCTTGTACCTAGTGTCTCTGCCAAACTCTCTTATTAGTTCAAATAGTTTTCCTCTAGATTTTCTTGGATTTTTCCAAATTGACAGTAATATAACCCGCAAATACAGACATTGTTGTTTTTTTCTAATTCTTATACCTCATTTATTTCTCTTATTACATTGGCCAGGAACTCTAGAATAATGGTGAACAGTAGTGATATAGAGCAATCTTACCTTGTTCCTGACTTAATGGAAACACTTTCAAACTTTCATTTTAAGTATAAAGGTTAGATTTGGGGTAGATAGCCTTTAATGAATTTAAATTTTTCCTCCTATTCTTAACTTCCTATTTTTTATTATGAACCCACTTTAGTTTTATATTTCTGCTTTTTGAAAGGATCAGATGATTTTTCTCCTTTACCAGTTAATCGGCAGATCACAGTGATAGATTAACTGATGTTAAATTTTCCTTCTGTGAGTCAAGGCAAAATTAATTTCAGGCCTGGATGATGCCTGCCTGCCTGACCCTGACCTTGGTCTCCCACAATACTGTTGCCTTGGAAACCGCGGAGTTGAGATAAATGGGGGATATTGTGTGTGGCTCCTTTGTTGTGTGCACAGGTTTAGAGGTGTTGTCAAGGGGCACATAGGCTGTGGGCCTACACAACCCGAATCATATAAAATATTGGTGGGAAAT